TTAGGGTTTAGGGTTTGGGGTTTAGGGTTTGGGGTTTAGGGTGAAGTTCTGCGTTGGCCTTTGAACCCTTCGAAACATATTTGCATGTAGGTCCCTTATAAGCCCAAATAAGAAACAGATGAAATGTCCAAATTAGCCAACCTAGGGCCTAGAGTAATTGCGGATGACGGGGTGTGGGAGATGCGAGGCTTGGTCAACTAGGGGCCGGGAGCGCAAGGAGGTTTAGGGTTTAGGGTTTAGGGTTTAGGGTTTAGGGTTCCTTCAATTCTAGGCGGGGAGGGAAGGTTTAACCTTGTATATAAGTAGTCAACTTTGTTGGATTTCAGGAGCCCACCCAAGAGCACCCTAACCGGCCAGGTCCCATGACAGGCACCCAAGAAGCCCCACCAAGTGTAGCGGCTACATGAGAATGTGAGGGTTTGGTCTGCAGCCTGAGAAGCTTGGAGCTAGCAAGAGGTACTGCGCTTGGCCTGTTCCAACTCCATGACCAAACGAGCTACAGATTGCCATGGGGTTTGCTGAATAGATGGTAAGAGAAGACGGCTCACTAGGGGCCCTTCCATCTTTCCTCGAAACTCTCCCCTGCCCCAAGAAACACACCGCCTGCTCCTGCAAAAATGTCCTGGGCCTCAACTGACCCCTAAACCCTAAACCCTAAACCCTAAACCCTAAACCCTAAACCCTAAACCCTAAACCCTAAACCCTAAACCAACCGGTCCTTGGCCCCTGTTGGAGCTGTGGCAGGAGCTGGGTTCTCAGATAGAACTGGTATTGAGCCTGGGAAGAAGGCAGACTGCAATGCGTTGCTCTCAGCCTCCCTTAATCTTCAGCCAATACTCCCCTTAGAGCCTTAATAAACATAATATGTTTAATGCCCCTCTTGGGTTTATATAAACCAACGATTAAAAAATAATTCCAAAGGGGGATATAGAAGCTCTGATCACAGTAAGAACGAAACTGAAATAATCCGAAACCCTAAGCCCTATAAACCCTAAACCCTAAACCCTAAACCCTAAAAGCAACTAGAAGAGGGATGGCCCGAAAGCATCGATTTGCCGTGCGTTGACTCCATGCAGTTGACTCTTTGCAGCCGAAGTGTATGCACTTGGACAAATGTATGCACTTACATGGTTGCATAGTCACTTGTGCACTGCACCTGTCTACTGGACGTGTATGCACTTGAACTGCATGGCATTCAAGTGTGTGGAGTTGAATGCCATGCACTTGTGGCCAACTCTTTACACTTCATCGGCATTGATTACAACGCCGAGCTCCGATGCTTCCACGGTGTACTGCGTTTGTGCTACAAAAGTCGACTTTCCAGGCATGTTTTGGAACCAGCGAATTCGGGGGACCATGCTATTTGCGATGGTTTTGGAACCAGCGAACTCGGTGACCATGGTACTTGCGATGGTTTTGGAACCACGATATTTACGAGGTTTTCGAGGCCCCGGAATTCGAGTCCCACGATATTTGCGAGGTTTTCGAGGCCCCGGAATTCGAGTCCCACGATATTTGCAAGGGTTTCGAGGAATTCGAGTCCCACGATATTTGCGATGGTTTCGACATCCCGGAATTCGAGCCCCACGATATTTGCGAGGTTTTCGAGGCCCGGGAATTCGAGTCCCACGATATTTGCAAGGGTTTCGAGGAATTCGAGTCCCAGGATATTTGCGATGGCTTTGACGTCCCGGAATTCGAGTCCCACATGTCCGTGAATTCGGGGACCATGGTATTTGCGATGCTTTTGGAAGAGCGAATTCGGGGACCATGGTTTTCGCGATGGTGTTTGGAACCAGCGAATTCGGGGACCATGGTATTTGCGATGGTTTTGGAACCAGCGAATACGGGGACCATGGTGTTTGCGATGGTTTTGGAAACAGCGAATTCGAGGACCATGGTATTTGCCATCGATGGTTTTGGAACCAGCGAATTCGGTGACCATGGTATTTGCGATGGCTTTGGAACAACCAGCAAAAGACAAAAACATCCCCGTGTCTTCACGCGCGCGGAAGTCCGTTACCATGCTATTTGCGGTGTTTTCAAGCTCCCAGATGTCGGTTACCGTGCTATTTGCGGTGTTTTTCAAGCGCCCAGATGTCCGTTACCATGCTATTTGCGGTGTTTTTCAGGCGCCCAGATGTCCGTTACCATGCTATTTGCGGTGTTTTCAAGCGCCCAGATGTCCGTTACCATGCTATTTGCGGTGTTTTCAAGCACCCAGATGTCCGTTACCGTGCTAATTGCGGTGTTTCCAAGCGTTACCATGCTCTTTGCGCTGTTCTCAAGCGCCCAGATGTCGAGCGCCCAGATGTCCGTTACCATGCTATTTGCGGTGTTTTCAAGCGCCCAGATGTCCGTTACCATGCTATTTGCGGTGTTTTCACGCGCCCAGATGTCCGCTACCATGCTATTTGCGGTGTTTTCATGCGCCCAGATGTCCGTTACCATGCTATTTGCGGTGTTTTCAAGCGCCCAGATGTCCGTTACCATGCTATTTGCGGTGTTTTCATGCGCCCAGATGTCCGTTACCATGGTCTTTGCGGTGTTTTCAAGCGCCCCGATGTCCGTTACCATGCTATTTGCGGTGTTTTCATGCGCCCAGATGTCCGTTACCGTGCTATTTGCGGTGTTTTCAGACGCCCAGGGCGGTACTACGTCTGTACTACAAAAAGCCGACTTTCCAGCCACGGAAGCACCGGGTGTCCCCGGCGTACTACGTCTGTACTACAAAAGTCGACTTTCCTGCCACGGAAGCTCCGGGTGTCCGCGGCGTACTACGTCTGTACTACAAAAGTCGACTTTCCAGCCACGGAAGCTCGCGGCGTACTACGTCTGTGCTACAAAAGTCGACTTTCTAGCCACGGAAGCTCCGCGTGTCCGCGGCGTACTACGTCTGTACTACAAAAGTCGACTTTCCAGCCACGGAAGCTCCGGGTGTCCGCGGCGTACTACGTCTGTACTACAAAAGTAGACTTTCCAGCCACGGAAGCTCCGGGTGTCCGCGGCGTACTACGTCTGTACTACAAAGTCGACTTTCCGGCCACGGAAGCTCCGGGCGTCCCCGGCGTACTACATTGTACTACAAAAGTCGACTTTCCAGCCACGGAAGCTCCGGGTGTCCGCGGCGTACTGCGTTTGTACTACAAAAGTCAACTTTCCAGCCACGGAACACTACGGTTTTAGCACCGCGACCATGCGAAAACCCGCAGAGGGGTTACGTTTGTATGTCAGGAAACGCAAAAACACGAGGGTTTTGGCACCACGCCAACGCCGAAACCCGCAGAGGGGTTACGTTTGTATGTCAAAAAACGCAAAAACTCCACGGTTTTGGCACCGCGCCAACGCCGAAACCCGCAGAGGGTTGTCTGCGGCCACGGAAAAAAGTTCCAAAAACGACGGTTTTAGCACCGCGACCCGGCGATCACCCGCAGAGGGTTGTCCGCGGACACAAAGAAACGTAAAAAAACGACGGTTTTGGCACCGCGACCACGCCGAAACCCGCAGAGGGTTGTCCGCGCAAATCAAGAAACGTAAAAAAACGACGGTTTTAGCACCGCGACCACGCCGAAACCCGCAGAGGGTTGCAATCCCGATTGGCGATGTCAACCCAGCCCGCCGCCTTAGAAAGAGTAATTTTAATTTAGAAATCTAGGACTGGGTACGAAGGTCTAGTAAATTCTACGTAAATCTAGAAATTTGTATTCACTGATTACTAAACTCTATGCAATTCACTCTATGCAATTCACTCTTGCTCTATGCGCTTCACTCTATGCACTTCGCTCTAAGCACTTCACTCTATGCACTTCGCTCTATGCACTTCACTCTATGCACTTCACTCTATGCACTTCACTCTATGCACTTCACTCTATGCACTTCACTCTATGCACTTCACTCTATGCACTTCAGTCTATGTTGTTGTGTCAGGGGGCTCCGCACGGAAGAACCCTTCGCGATGCTTTCGGGAAAACTGAAATCGGCAGCTTTTTAAGCTGGGGCGCTCTGCACCGGTACCCGGTCCGCGTCGCACGACACCTCCACGATATCGGATCTATCCTCCTGCGCAGGGCTTAGGGTTTAGGGTTTAGGGTTTAGGGTTTAGGGTTAAGGGTTTAGGCTTATTACTGTTCAGGGACTAAACCTTCTGCAGTATGGTTTGCGATATGCCGACCCCTACCCTTCGGTGCGTGTATGGCTGAAAGGCTACTTGTGCCAGCTCGCGGATACCATGTTCGTGGGGGCAAAGTTCTGGGATACATGTCGAATCCATGCGTCATGGCCGGATTCTTTCCTACGGCGAGTAGAATCGCAAGTTTTCCGCCCACGCCTGTTTGCCCACCTCGAGCGTTACCTCTTGCTGGCTGAGCATTTGGCAGCCGCATAGCCACCACATTGCGAGAAGAGCTAAACACTCAACAGCATGCGCTGTACCGCGCAAAGATGTGTGGAACATGTTGTTGGTTCTACCGTTGCAGCAAGTGATTGGCTGCGATTGCTTGTCATGCGAGGTGCCATCTGTCCTCATGGTGGCTGCATGCCGATGATGACTCTGACAGCACAAGCGGTTATCTTGGAATTGAGGGGAAGTCTCCAGCAGAACTAGGCTTGATCGCTTGTTTCAGCGCTCGCCCCAAAACAGTCTGGAGCCACACGGTGGCACGGTGGCAGTGTTTGCCGGGACTGGACTGAAGCTGGCCCAATGCATCCATTTGCATCTATATGCTATGCGTCCTGGCAACAGAGAACTGTTCCACAGAACGTTTCCAACCCGAACATTTCCGGTGCAAACCTTGGTGGAGTGTTTTTTTTTCAGACTGAAGTTCACGAGATTTGGTCGGGCGAAGCCCAAAGGAGAAGGCACGGATCTTAGGATATCCCGTAAACCCTAAACCCTAAACCCTAAACCCTAACCCTAAACCCTAAACCCTAAGCCTAAACCCTTAGACCCAGACATCCTATGGACTCGTATCCCGTCATGGCAAGTACATGGGCTGCCCGGCGGCCGCGTGAAAGGGTCGGCCTTGGCGGCTCCGCTGGCAGTGTGGGTTTAGGGTTTAGGGTTTAGGGTTAGGGTTTAGGGTTTAGGGTTTAGGGTTTAGGGTATAGGGTTTAGGGTTTAGGGTTTAGGGTTTAGGGCTTAGGGCTTAGGGTTTAGGGTTTAGGGTTTAGGGTTTAGGGGGGAGAAAGCAAAAGACTCCGTTGGATCTCGGGCTTCCTTGAGGACATTGAGCTGGATTTGCAGTCCGCCGCCAGCTTTACCCTATACCGTAAACCCTAAACCCTAAACCCTAAACCCTTTTTTGCATCCGGACTCCCATGGGTGCTGCCAAAACCCTAAACCCTAAACCCTAAACCCTAAACCCTAAACCCTAAACCCTAAACCCTAAACCCTACATGCGGATCAGGGTGCGCTTCTCACAAGCTGTGTTTCTGGGTCGAGAGCACACTTCAGGAAGTTCTGGCTGCGTGGACGGAGTGCAAAGGGTCATACTATATAGCATAGGGGCCGGAGCAAGTACGAATGGTGTTGCCTTATGGTCCCTATATAAGTATATACTATAATCACCCCCAAGAGCCAGTTATAATTAAGGCCCCTATATTGCACCGTCCAAGCCTTGAGGTACAGATTTGTGAGAGCAATCGGCCAACGTCTGCCTAAGGCCGAAGCATGGTTGGCCATGGCCGAAAACTCTCGAAGCCGGCTTTGCTGTAGCCGTGCTGCGCTGCACAAGTGACCAAAAATATTTGTGGCCTAGACTGGTCACCTTCGCCACGATGGGACTGCTCTCACGTTGCACGAACCGATCAACCTCCGGATCAGATGCCCGAAGCCCGTAAAACGAAGCATCAAACAAAGGAGTCGGACGCCTTGAGCCAGTGTTCAGCATCTGACCATCTGTCCTTCTCTCTCTCTCTCTCTCTCTCTGCTTATCACCCATGCCTTGTTCTGAGCCTTATTCTCCTTCGCAAGTTCCGCATGCGTCTCCATCTCATGCATCTCCATATTTCTTGACCTCTCTCTCTCTCTCTCTCTCTCTCTCTGTTGCCTCATCTTGGCCTCTGCCCTTGCAGAATGCCTTGGGCCCAGCCTGCCCAGATACGCCTTGCTCTCATACGCAGTGCATCGACCACTACTATTTGCTTAAGAACCCCCAAAGAAGCAAAAGACAAGTGTCCCTATACTACCCGACTAGGCAAGAACATATAAGAACATATAAGAACATGTAAGAATGTATAAGAATGTATAAGATCTACAAGAATGTATAAGAATGTATCAGAACATAAAAGGTATACAGAAGAATATACAAGAGTATGTTTTGCTCTTAGTTCTTGTGCAAACAGTAGATCACGCCTACCTTTTCTGTCCACGGCAACCCGGTCGGTCGCCACGTGGTCGAAGCACATCGGTCTCTGTCTGGGAACATGCGCTGACTATTTGCTGGCCCTAAGCCATGAGCCAGATGGTAAAGTTTAGGGTTTAGGGTTTAGGGTTTAGGGTTTAGTAGAGCCACAGTCATACGGCCTACTTCTCCAGCAGCCAGGCCATGAACAGGTTAAACGGACAAAACATGAAGTCAACACAAATTGAAAAATCAGAAAATATAGGGGTCGGGATGGTTACCAACAGTATTCCCTTATGGCCCCTTTCCAAGTATACTATAATAAGCCCCAAAACCCTATTCAAATTATTAAGGCCCCTGTAGTACATCTGGCCCAGGGGAGGTTTCGACGAAATTCGCCTCGCTGTTCTTCGCTTCGGGAGGCAGCCGAGGAGAGAAGGCAAGGTCTCCGAGGGGGAGCCTTCTGTAGAGTAGAGGGTTTAGGGTTTACGGTTGAGGGTTTAGGGTTTGGGGTTCAGGGTTTAGGGTCAGAGCCTTACAGGACCTCAAATCTCCCTGCAAACCCTGGCTGTTAAGATCCCCCCAGCCCTTCATCAACCCTATGCAAAACCTTCCAGCCCCAAAACCAAACAAACCCAATCTCTGTAACTCTTAATGAAGCCTTCAAACCGACAGCAGAGGCGTCTGCAGAATCCATCTGTAAGTCATACTTCCACAGACCTTCCCTTCTTTGCGGAACTTCGTCAGGTGACAAGGTTGCCGGCCATGCTTTTGCACGTGTGGCCTTGAAATTTGAGTCTGAGCTTGGAATCTCGGGGCTTGGAGCTTCATGCTTCGTATACATGTCGGTTCCCACCCCTTCCATGTGGCGATAAAGACATGGATGCCATTGCCTGATCAAGAGCTGCGATTGCCCCAAACCCTATAATAAACCCTAAACCCTAAACCGTACAGTAAACCCTACCCTGTGCCTTTTGAGAAGACGAGGAGCCCTCCCACACCTGAACGCGCAGTGGCGGCAGTGGGAAGGATGTGTCGACGTTCTGCCGGCATGGCCACGCAAAGTGCGGCCCCGTCCCGTTTTGCCCCTAGGACCTGAAGCCCACGATATCTGGATAAGACACAGCGTAGTTCGGGATCAGTGGGCAACCTTGCAGGTCCTGAGGCGGCAAGCATTCAGAACACCTTTTCTGATGAATTAAAGGCAAGGCTCCGTCCAAACCCCAGAGTGATTCAGGGAGTTTGCGCAACTCAAGAATGCTTCACTCCAACCTCCGCAGTTTAGGATTTCCCTAGACGGAGCCTGATCAAGCTGGCTCAGATGATGCTATCCGCCCTGAGCGAGGGGCAGGCACTGATGCGTGGACTCGCGCTAAGCGCCCCAAACCTCTTTTTGTTTAGGCCATGTCTATACACCCTTCGAAGTTCAAAAGGGTTCTGAGGTAAGCTATGAGAAAAGTGAAGGCTTGGGGTTCTTAAGGTAGTTACCCTTAGGACTTCGGGGCCTTGTCCAATTTCAACCACTCCCGGCCAAGAGCTGGTGCGCAAAGATTTACCAAGCCATCGGAACACGAGCCAAACAGCGCAACCCTAACACCCAACACCCCCAACACCCAAACACCCTGAACCCTACTGTAACACCCCACACCAGGGGCTTCAGGTCAATAACAGGGTGTGTGTGTGTGTGTGGGTGTGTCTCTGAGTTCGGGGCAGCCTGTTGTTTAGGTCGAACTGAAGAGCCTGCTGGTCTCAACGCGTCTTATGGGGTTTCCGAAATTAGGGATACCCTACTGGGTCCTGATTGCAAGTACGGGAATCCTACGGTTTTGGGGTCTATATTGGGTGCCCCTTATTTTCGCAAACCCCCCCCTTATGGCTTTTGTGTAGAAGTACAGGTAGAACACAGCCGATGCTTGCGACTGGGATCTCTTGGACTCTTCGGCGCAAGCAGGTGGGGCGTGGCCGTCTGACAGGTTGCTTGAATAAGGACTGCTGCCCCTGATGCCCTTCCCTACATTCTGTGCAAAGTTAAGGGTTTTCTGACTGGCAACAAGTGGGAGTTCCGACTTGCAACAAGTGTGAACGCATGCATCCGTCTTGAGCATGATCTGCAAACCGGGATCTACGACCAGACACTTTGGGACCTCTAAATGCCCCTCAACCTGAGTCGCAAAGTCCGGTATATCCAGTCTATCAAACCAAGCTGTTGGGGGCCCTACCGGTTTCCGAAGCCTTCAGCCCAAAACTCATTAGACCCCAGAGCCTCCAGGACATCTTCAACCGGGAGCCAGGAGGACACCATGGCGTCCCCTTGCCTTTGTGAGTGCGGCACACTCAAGCGTTGCGTTCAGAGGGTGGGAAAAGGCAGTCGCCTGGGGTCCCACTGCTGTGGGCGCACCAGAACCCTAGATCAAATGTCGATGACGTCGGCTTTGGCACCGAGTTCGTGTTGGCCAAGGGAGGTTGTTCCAAACTAGGGTCTTTTATAGCTTCAAGGCTCTCGGTTCTGAGAGTAACCAGGGAAAAAATGTGCACCTTTTTTGCTTTGAAGGGGCTTCTAAAGGAACTGAAACCCCAAACAAACGGAATAAGGGCCCATTCTGGGTACTAGCCCTAAACCCTAAACCCTTAAACCATTCCCCAACAGAGCCTCCAAAAACCGCTGTTGTGATGAGTTGCCTCTCTAGAGTTTCATCCTGCTCCAAGGGTTTAGGGTTGCTGGCATGGTGCTACACAAACGCCTTCTGGTTTGGAGATGCGACTCAGCGTTAGCAAACTGTTAAGGCGCCACAGGAACCTGTGTGGCATGGGCTTCGCCCAATCTTCAAGTGCCGTGAGCAACATGAAGAGCCAGTCTCGCAACCCTAAACCCTAAAACCTAATTAAACCCTAAACCCGAAACCCCAAGATCAAAGGAGGCCCCCTGAGTGGGTTCCTTCCCCTTAAACTCCAAGGCAGACCTGGAGACCAACTTGCCAGCGAGACCGGGAGAGCGTTTCCCAGAAAGAGTTTGCAAGAGAAGGGCGCAGGTCCTCAACCCTGAGACTCTAAAACCCAAAAGCCTAGGACCTTGAAGCCCGAAAACAAGGTCCCAATAACCTTAAACCCTTTGTTGAACCTGGAAGCTGCTTCATGCCAGGACTGAGCCCTAAACCCTAAACCCGAACCCTAAACCCTAAACCCTATAGACCCTGAGCCCTAAACCCTAACCCTACACCCTACACCCTACACCCTACACCCTACACCCTAAACCCGAAACCCTAAACCCGAAACCCTAAACCCTAAACCCTAAACCCTAAACCCTGAACCCTGAACCCTAAACCCGAAACCCTAAACCCTAAACCCTGAACCCTAAACCCTGGACCCTAGTCAACCTGGGGCCCCCGGACTGGTCAATCACCTCAGAGACCGTTTGGGCCCGGTTAACAGATGCAGTGCAGAGATGCGGTTTAGGGTTTTTGCTGCCACCTGCCAGGGTTTAGGGTTTAGGGTTTAGGGTTTAGGGTTTAGGGCAACCACACTGCAGGGATGCAATTGTCCGTCGATTGTGTGAAGCCGGAGGAAATACTGAAGGAAAAGGAGTTCAGATGTCAGTGCCTACATGAGGTCACCTTTCGAGCATGACGATTCAGTCCGAGCCCCAAACCTAAACCACATAACCATCAAGCAGTGACGAACCAGCCCCACATTGATCACAGTTGGTCGGTGCAAGCAGACCCGTCTGTGACAGGCTCTATAACGGCAAGCTGAGGGTCAGGACACCTATTTCTTCTAAGAAAAGGCACACCCAGGAATATTCCTGGGTTCCAAAAACAGGGTTGAAAAGGGGGCTGGTTTGAGAGTTTAGGGCTTAGGGATTTGAATTAGGGTTTCGGCGCTCACTCTCGCACGGCAAGGTCTCTTGGTTTAGGGTTTAAGAGATTTGATCCGAAACTCTGTTGCGCGGACGCGACGCAGCAACAAGTGAAATGTGGGCGTCTCCGTCTCAGTGTAGGTTTAGGGTTTAGGGTTTAGGTTTGGGGTTTAGGGTTTAGGGCTTAGGGTTTAGGGTTTAGGGTTTAGGGTTTAGTGACAAGAAGACGCAGGGACGTTTCACGTCACTGTATCTCCAAGAGGAGGAGAAAGCATTCAAGCCAAAGATGTGGTCGCAGTGGTCGCTGGAAATCTGATGCCTCCACAGGGTTTAAGGGTTTAACTAGGGACTAGGGTTTAGGGGTTTAGGGGTTTCGGCTTTAGGACTTTAGGGTAGCCAGTCCTCGCATGTCCTCGCAGGCTGCGTGAAGACTGCGCAGGGTCTCGCAAGTCAGGACACCGTAAGAAAGGCAAAGCCCGCCCATGC